CCGTAGAGAAATTGGCTAATAAGTGCAGCATCATCCCACTTGATATTAGTTACAAGTTGTCAAAATTGTGAAGTGTATAACATTACTAATCGATTGCCTTGTCATAAAATACAGATCTTATTAGTTGCAACATGAATTGTATCATGTTTTCCATACATAGATCGAAACTCCGCCAGAAATGCCTCTACATTATCTAATATTGGATCTCATCGTTCAAGAAAAGATGAGAACCATGATAGTATTGATCCTGAAAGAAACGTACCAATGAATCTAACTTGTGATCTTGGAGTTGGATAGTTTTGGGGTTGAAGTTCAATCACAAGTTGAACTTGATTGATAAATCCTCAAAACTTAGATCTGGTGCCATCAAACTTCTTTGGTATGGTAATTCTTGATTCTCTAACACTGGAAGGATGTTCTACCATAGGAGAAAGGATATGGTTTGGTGCAGATGTTGAAGCACCTCCAACCATTTCTATATCTTTACTTCCTACCAATCTTGTTGCTCTTTGTGGTGGTAAATTGAGTTGATGCATCGCAAGCATTAACTCCCTCAATTGCTCTTACATTTGTGCCATTGCACTCTTCATTTCAACAAGTTCTGCTATGATAATACTTAGAAAAAAAAACATGTCTAATATCGCTCAAGATAAATAGAAGAGAGGAATTAAGAACAAAGAAAATACTAAGGACAATATCAGTTTAGAAGAGGGTAATCTGCAACTTCTAATATGCTTATATCTTATCAAGAAAAAGGGATAATTCACTCTTAATCAAGATTAGACAAAGCTCTGATATTGTAGGTGTACTCTTGTCAATCTGTCAAGGACAAGAACTTGATGAAAAAGTAATTCAGACAAGTGAGCCTTCATTCAAAGAAAGATAACAAAATATAAATAAACAAGTATGTATGTTGAAAGAAAAACTGGAATGGTTATTGCCAAAAGACAAGAAAACTAGAGATCCTTGAAACTAGACTAGAAGCAAGAAAGGAGTTGATAAGAGTGAAGAAGGCTTCACTCTTATCTCTATATATACTATCTAACTAAGGGCTACATGGCAACATTCTATAGGACCTCCAATATGTGTTGACTTTATAGGACATATGCCTTGACTTACAAGGCAAGTTTTTCTACGTGTGGGCTACATAGTTAGCTTGGTCTTTAAGCTAACAACATAAGTGGCATATGACCAACTTGTTGACCACGTTTCTAATCCAAAAAGTCAATTCAAGCTACCTATGAAGTCATAGTAATGTCTATAAAGCTTCTAGGAAGCTTCCATATCAAATATTATAGAATTAACTTACTTTTATCTACTTTTATTTACTTCTACATATTTGTATATGTAATTTATGAGTATGTCCGTGACAGTATCTGATAATGCTATACTTTAGACATGCATACTTGAAGAGGGGTATGCCATCCTGATATCTAGACATCTAGGGTAAGAGAAGACTCTAAAATGGATCTCAAGGACATAGTTTTGGATAAGTTTGAATTATGATATTTGACCTTTTGTGCGTTCTTGCGGATTATATCAACTTAAAAAAATATGCAATGCAACATCTCCTAGATAATTACAACCAATTCCACTACCTACGACATATTGGAGGCATATGACTATATATCTCATTGCGTATTTGTCATAGATACCTCACAATTACACTATAGTTGTTGTCTTTTTAGACCAAATCTTGAAATAACTTTACTTGGCTGTAGTATACTTTAATGTTGATGTCCCAACACTTGTACAAGTCTTCTTTAGCACTGTCTTTTGTCACTATGGATTACCTCGTGTCATCATTTTAGAATGTGGACCATGCTTCATAGGAAGTTTTTGGCAAGCTTTATTCAATTTATTTATCATACAACTTACTATGTCTATGATCGTCCATCTTCAAAGAGATGGACAAATGGAGCATGCAAATTGGAGCCTAGAGGATATGCTATAGGCATTTGTGGCAGTTCATCATAATAATTGGGATGAATATTTGATTCCTTTAGAATTTTCCTACAATGATAGTATTTAAGCAAGTACGAGTCATTCACCATTCTTCTTTAATACTGATTATCTTCCAATTATGCCAACAATCTTTCATTGTTCCATTGAAACTAATAATCTAACAATAGAAGAGTTTATACAATGGCTTACAATGACTTTGCAGGAGGTATGCTAACATCTTTTTACTATACAAAATTGACAGAAGCAATAAGCGGATAAGCATCAACAATATAAAATTGTTCGAAAGAGTGACCAGATATTATTCTTTAACACCAATCTTTCACTTGCTACATCAATCCAAGTCCATAAGCTATTACCTCCTTGGCTTAGATCTTTCTACGTTTCTGCAATAATTTCTGATGTTGCATATCCCATTGAGCTTCTGCCACATATTTGAATCCATCCAGTTTTCCATGTTTCGTAGCTCAAGGAGTTTCATATTGAACCAAGGCACTTTTTGGATTGACATTAATCACCATCGCCACTATCAATTGAAATTGATGACCAACAAGAGTATGAAGTGGACGATATTTTGGAACATCACTATCTTTGCTATGGCAATAGATGTCCATAACTTCAATACAAAGTTTTTTGGAAAGATTATCCCATCTACGATATAACATGGAAATGTCTACAAAACCTCATTCATTATCAAGAAACTATTTGAAAATACCATTAGAAGTGAAATGATGATGTTCCTTATTAATAGAAGGAGATTAGCTATAATAGGGCATGAATAGGATGGTTGTATTATTTGCACATAAAGATATGTAGTTGGAGTTATTTTTTGGAAGCTTCTAGAATTGAAGTTAGAATAGTAGTTTATGTAGGATCCACCATAGAACTTTCTAAAAAGGCTTAAAATGGTTATTATAGTAGGACTCGCTCTTAAAATCTTTTAGAAGGGAGGTTATCTTAATATGATCCATCATTAAGAACATTCTAAAAAGTTCCAATCTAGTTGAACAAAGTATAAATAAGATTGACTGAGGCCATTTAAGGCAATCACTTAGGTATGGCTTTAAACTCTTTCTTTTAGTAAAATTTAATTTTCTTATTCTATTCTATTTGGTTCTATTTTCTTTTATTCAGTCTTCTCTTTCATGTTCTATTCTTTTAGTTACTTTTAGTATTATTTTAGTGTGCTTTGTCTTACGTTGTGTTGAAATCTTTATTGTTATGGATTTGGTAAGGTTTTAAATCTTAGAGTATTTGGTCCTATTTTAAATATAGTCACTTATATTTTAGAATTAGCAATATATCACATTTGTACTTTTTTCTTAGCTATATTAAAGAAGATTTTTTCTTAAGAATTTTGTAAATTTTGAAATTCTCAATCATATGATATATTTGTTTATTTTATAATTACTATTCAAAGATTTTAAAGTTATTTTTAATTTGACAATGAAAATTTAGTTTATGTTTGCTTCAAACAAATTATTAAGATTGATAGGTTATAAAAATTAGATTAATAATATGATTAGTTTTCTAAAAGATATTTTATAAAAAATATTTTTAAAAGTATAAGTGTTTAGTAAAATTATAAATTACTAATCATAATATAATACCATCTACAAATTTTAAGAGTTTATAAAAAAGTTACAAGTTTTTTTAATTAGTTTAAAAAATATAAAGAAATTAAATGTTCTTTGAATTAAGTAATAAAATTGGAATTTTTAGTATTTTATGTATCTAAAAAGAAATGTTAATATTTTGATATAAAAAATTAAATAAAATTATAATTAATAGAAGAAATTTTGAATAGAAAATACATGTGAAAGTTAAGTAATGACAATTTGTACAATTTTTATTTTGAACTATTCAAATTTATATGGATATTAATGAAAATAGATTTATAAAATATATAATTCATAAATATTATATATTATATGATATATATTATTTTTATTAGTATTTAGAAATTTTTTTTTTTCAAATTAAACATGTCTAATAGTTTGTGTTATATTGATTTGTATCATTGAATTAATTTAATCTTCATTGGATAGTCTAAATGTAATTTATTATGACATATCTAATCAAATTTATCTTTATAAATTTAAATCATATAAATTTAACATATCTCTATTGAATAGATACTTCTATACTTAATATTATATATTTTTTATTATATAATTTTTTTTGGATATAAGACAAAGAAGTCTTGCGATTGGCCAAACATGAAAATGAGGAAATATGGATGAACAAGAGAACATGGATGAACAAGAAAAGGGATAGATGGTAGAGATCACTACACCCAACGCATCAAATTTTTGCTTCTTTATATATATATATATATATATATCTACTCAAACACACAATTGTTACCAAATTCTATGGTACATGAAAAAAGACTTAACTAATTTTATAAAGGCAAAATTGAAACAAGGTTTCTAATTCCTAACTAAGACATGAATTATGTCACATTAAACACACAATTATTGAACAATAATGATGTCACGCTAAAACACACTACGACACACACCTTTCTTCTGTTTTTTCAAGAGTTACAAATTCACATGCTCAATCTCCAAAAAGCATTCCCAATGCAACAACATCTGGATCATCCGCTCTCCTCCTTTGAGGGCGAACGGTTCTAAACAGAACACCTCACGGAATTGTCGTCTTCATACGGATGGATATCCCTCGCACCGTTCCACCACACCCTCCAGAACGTCGTCTCATCCATCAAATGGATGAATAAAAATACAGTTCACACATTCATTGAGAAGTTCGTGCCTCCGCGGCGTCGCGACCCCACCCGCGGCGGCGAGGAGAGCCAACCAGTGACGCCGCGAGCCCGCGACGAGGCCGCGTCGAGGTAGCGACGACATTACTCCAGCTTTGCGTGCGTGGGTGGCTGGAGGGGGTAGGGTGGGTGGGTGGTGGCGATGAGCAAATGCTTCTAGACTGTGGTGCCACGGGAGTGCAATGCGGTCCTGTCCTTTGCCGGATCCAGCCACAAACTCGCGCAGCTCCAACGTGTGTCGCCCTTTGCCCCTCCTTCCCTTTCACTCTCAATTTTTACGCTTCACTTTAGCAGCTATTTACCCCTTCCAACTGTTTAACGTGTTCGCCAATCCACCACTTTTGTTCCACTCCCCTCGCAGCGTCTTAACTACACTGGGTGATGTTCGGCTGTGTAGTCAGTCGTACCTGGATGTGCTTGGAAACATTGCAGGTCAGCTGAAGATTGGGAGTCCCGTGTAGTGGACGGTGTGTTTACTTGAGGTTTGTTCTCCTGATGATTGATGTTACGTGCTGAGGTCGCTCGCATTGTCGACATTGTGCTTGTTGATTGAGTTGGGTTGATGCGGATAGGTGATTTGAGCGTGGGGTGGTTAGTGGAGGATGGGTATCAATAGTCGAGATCGTCTACATTGGTCGAGTTTAGTGAGGTGGGGTGGACTTCGTGTCCATCGTTCGTTCGACGACTGGTTCAATGGGGGGAGGTATGGAAGATGGGGGAGACCAAGCCCTGTTTTTAATATAGTCGTTGGTTGTCTGCTAGCAACAGCAGATTTGAGATTGGGCGGAGATTTGAGTAGTTGTTATCACGGAACTAACTTCTGATTTTAAGCTCACTTGTCGACAAGGATTTGCGGACCTTACATGAAAACGCTATTTCCTTATCCTAGTTTGGTGGTTGATGTCAAACGCTGGTGGTTGGTGTACTTGTCACCACATAGCAGCTGCACAAAGAGTTTGGACTGGAAAAAAAAAAAAAACGCGTGACTTTGATTGTGAATTGAAGTGGGCTTGATTCTTGGGACATTGATTGTACATCGGTTTTTCGTAGTCAGCACCAATAATCTCAAGCTACACAGTGTTGCGGACCAAGCCACACAGTGTCTCAGTAAACCACGGTGAATTAACAGGCTTGTCATGTGTGTGTGTGCTTCAGCGAAGGCGCCAATCCGAATTCCGTTCTAGTTTGAAACCCTCCCAAATTGCGAAGACATGAATTCAGCGTTGGTATCTTGTGGTATAGAGCTACCGAAAGCCTTTTTAGGAGCAAAGGTTGTATCAAATGGTGGATCTCATCCAAATAACACTTGTTCCGATACAACCAAGCTTTTTAACTCAACTAGAAATTATCCCAGAATCTCCTGTTCCGATGACCGTGGCAGCCGTTTGCGTTTAGCAGCCATAGCTGCTGATAAAGAGACAAAGGTAGGACAATTGGATCAGGAGTTGCGTAGTGAATCTGGACATGACGCTGTGAATGGATCAGTTAACGGAGCAGTCAACGGAGCGACCAACGGAGCAACCAATGGAGCAATTAAGAGACGTGAGACCATAATTGAGGAGCCTGAAAGCATTTCACCATATGATTCCTCGGTGCCTCTTCGACCAAGAAGTATTCTTAACTACATGAATGAGGTGCGGACTGCAAAATTGATTCCATGTTATCACAGTACTTTTTCATTGTTTAGTCTACTATGCAACGATTACTAGGCCTTTGTGCCGTTGTTCTGGATGATACAGTTCAATTTCTTTTTGGCGATAATTAGTTTCGAAATTTCTGTTTTCCCAGTTTGGATCGGTTGTCACATGAATGTTTCCTCCGTAGCTCGTGTCAGCGGGAACGTCATGAGATGAGTCGGTTAGTGGTATGACAAAGCAATACCTGCTGGTTGATCTGTGGTTCCAGGTTAAATACTTCCTCACTGACGATGGCGGTCCGCCTCGGTGGTTCTCCCCTATTGTTCCTCCCCCGCCAGCTGATGCACCGACCCTTTTCTTCCTACCGGGTGAGGCCTGTTTTTCCAGATATTGATCTCTTCGATGCATTTTTAATTTAATCCTCAAGGATTGGGTTCCAACAAGCGTTTTACTTCAGGGTTTTCCTCGCACCTATCTCCATGTCCTTCAGGCTGTTCTGACGCTTGTGGAAGCATAAAACATAACTATATATTCACCCTGATGACCTCGATAATTGCAGGCATGGATGGCACGGGCCTAGGTCTCATCATGCACTATGAATCACTCGGCAGGTAATTTTACAATCTGTCGATGAGGTTTGTTTATGTCGCACAGGTATGCCAGCAATCCTCACGATTAGGAGCTGCATTCTGTGAATACGGTGGCTTACTCATCTCCAAGTTCGCTGCCCCTGTTGATTGCAGGTTGTTTAATATGCAATGCCTTCACATTCCAGTCCGAGATCGAACACCTTTTGCAGGTACATTTCTCTGTTCCTTAAATGCAACCTGATGCTCACATTCGCTGCGTGCCATGACTTGCCCGTTAAGCATAAAGCTAATCATGTGAGCCGGCACGTGAAATTTCAGGTCTTCTAAAGATTGCTGAGGAAGCCGTGTTGGCTGAACACAAGCATCGGCCGAAGTCACCCATATACCTTCTAGGTGACTCCCTTGGTGGTACTTTAGCGTTAGCTCTCGCAGCACGGAATCCGAAGCTAGATTTGGTCTTGATTGTTGCCAATCCAGGTAAATAAACAATTTCAACCTACTGTTGTCTTCCTTGCAAGTTCAGAGACTGCGGTCATTCGGTATTTGAATCCAGATTGGGTGATGTTTTTTCCTGAATATTATCCCACCGTCGCTGTCATTTTATTATCTCACTATTACGAGTATCACTCTTAAAATCTCGAAAATTTGTCGTGTGGACATTTTCTAGTCAAAACTCCTAACTGCATCTTGCCTGCACGCTGTTCAGCTACATCGTTTGACAGGTCCCAGTTGCAACCCCACTTCCCTCTGTTGCAAGTAACGCCGTCGGAGTTGTATGGTGTTGTTCCCTACCTCTTGAGTTTCATCATGGGTAAGTTCAACGCTCTCTGTGTGATAAAAATCTTACGACTATTATTATTATTCTTATTCTTATTCTTACTATTCTTATTATTTATTCTTTTTATTATTATAGTGAAGTAAACTTCATGAAATGTTGAACGTGCATTAACAGCTATGGCTTGGACTTTCAGGTGACCCGATTAAAATGGCGGAAGCCCAAGTGAAGCAAGACGCTTCTCCTGTAGATAGAGCACTGCAGATGCGTGAATCACTCCTGTCGTTATTACCCACACTGCCGGTACTATACTCTGAACCTCGATTAATCTCACTAAATATTTGGATGAAGTTATTTACTTTCTGCATGTGTATCCGCTCTTTTATGGAAGATGGAGAAGTATAAAAGCTTCTATTGTGGTGCAGACTCTGGCAGATGTGGTCCCAAAAGACTCACTTGTATGGAAGTTGGAGCTGCTCCATTCGGCGGCGCTGTACGCTAATTCTCGGCTTCACGCTGTACGAGCCCAAGTCTTGGTACTAGCTAGGTGCGTAAGATGGTGTCTTCTCACGGTGTTATTGTCTTCTGCCCACTGATTCGACCATGCGGCTGAGTGGCTTTAGTGCCGAATCAAATAAGCAATTTATTGGAAGTCTTTACTGGTTCAAAGTATTGCCAGCGGAACATGTGCCTGATACGTGTTCATGTGCGTTTTCAGTGGGAATGATCAAATGCTGCCGAGCGCGGACGAAGCTGAAAGACTGAGGAAGATATTGCCGAATTGCCGAACCAGATATTTCAAAGAGAGTGGCCACACACTTTTGCTGGTACCGCATCTTCTCTACCCTGATGATCGGTCTTGTATCATGTAAAAGTCTTGAGATTTTTCGTTTGCACTAAGGCTGTGCAGAACTCAAGGTTGAAATTATATAACGATCAAGTGACCTCGCGGAATCTCCAGGAAGGTGGACTTAATCTAGCATCAGTGATAAAGGGCGCTGGCATATACCGTCGCGGCCGAAATATAGACTACGTTACAGATTTCGTTATTCCAACTCAAGCTGAATTTGATGACGCTTACAATAAATATGCCAAGTGAGCAACTTTTCCAGTTTTTTTTTGTTTTACTTTTGTATTTTTTTCTGTCTGAATGACGAGGTTTCATTGTTTCTGTCCTTGATTTGGAACGTCTAGAATGTGTAAATCAACAATTTTCAAACTCTAACGTACATTCTACTTATTCTAATGTGTCTGTGTAACCTTCATTTAGTTCTGCGGTAATATTTTCAAGGAATTCAGCGTAGAAAATTTGTGCTCGTAGGAGCTTTCTGACGATTATTAACAGAATGTTTTTTTGTGATTGATTGATTGATTGCAGGTTAATCTGGCAGGCGACTAGTCCTGTGTTTTTCTCCACCAAAGATACTGGTAAAGTGGAACAGAATCTCTCAAACGTACCCAATGATCGACCAGTACTTTTTGTAGGAAACCACATGTACATGGGATTAGACTTGAGTTTAATCATCTATCAGATGTTCAAGGAAAGGGGCATCATGATTCGTGGACTAGCTCATCCTATGTTGTTCGAAACCAAAATGGAAGAAGACTTGCAGGTTTTTAATCTGATACCTGCCTCTCTCCATAAGTTTCACTCCTGTGCACAATTATCTTCGACTCATGATCACATCTGTATGATTAATTTTGTTTTGAAGCGTACAAACACCAAATTTGTACACAGTTAGTTCGTGTCAGTAGTACAAGTCTAGATTCTACAGCACATCCATATGAACTACTCTTGGATTTTGTTCCTATCTGCAGGAAGGCACCATGCCCGACTTATTTCGCGAATTCGGAGCAGTACCCGTGTCCGGAAATTCGATGTTTAAGCTATTGAAGAAAGGCTACTCTACACTGCTGTATCCCGGAGGTGCGCGCGAGGCCCTGCACCGTAAGGTATGACAATATCACCACATATGATATCCATTTCATAGCTTTTGAAGCTGCATATTGGTGTGTTGATCTATCCATTTTGGTACCTAGTATTCAAGAGTTACTGATTCACGGATTCTTCTTCCTTTCTGGTGGTTGCAGGGCGAGACTCACAAGATTTTTTGGCCTAAGAGATCAGAGTTTGTCAGAATGGCGGCAAGGTTTGGGGTTACTATCGTTCCTGTATCGACTGTCGGGGAGGATGACTTGCTCGATGTAAGTTTCCTTGTCATTCTCTGGGTCTTTCTCACCACCATACTCAGTCAGCAAATAGCGACGACCAAAGAATTGCAGTATTAGTCGTACGATTCATCTGCATATCCAGGGAATCGGTGAGGAATCTAATGTATTGAGATTTGCATTTCAGTTTAAAGACGCAAAGTTAACGTCCTAATTTAAGTCTCATTTTTTTAAACCTTTTTTCGCAGATTATTCTGGATCTGGACGATTTGAGGAGAATCCCAACTTTTGAAGAAAGATTTGTATATCCCATAACAAATATCAGGTGAAGATCTTTTCTACTGTTTCTTCTCTTTTGGAGTGTAAACCCAATGTTTGATAAGCTAAACATCAGCCGCGACATGACAAACTCGATATAGCGATGTGAACCTACGCTTCCTTATATACCTCACTTCCAGATGTCAAAAACAAACGTCTGTTTGTAGTTTTTTCAAAGAAAAGTTTCATTAACAAAGTCACAGACCACTCATCAATCTAACAACCTGGCAACTTTCTGATGTTAGGGGAGATCTCAATGAGGACGTAGGAGACCAGTCGCTTCACTTACCGTTCGCGGCCCCCAAGCTCACGCCAGGAAGACTGTATATTAAGTTTGGCAAACCCATTGTCACGGCAGGTGAAGAGCTCATTCCTATCCCTGGTTAACAACTCCACACATATTATTTGTACATATTCACACAGTACGTCACTTACATTCCCTCATTGCTTAAACACATCTACACAACTAGGATTCGCATACTCATCCACCCAGATCGAACTCTGATGAATCTTCCATTCCCATGACCTGATGAGACAATGCCTGTATGAGTTCTCAGGGAGGGAGAAGGAGCTGCAACCAGACCGAGCCCAGGCCCAAGCTATATATAAACAAGTCGAGAGCGCTGTAGAGGAAGGATTAGAGTACCTGCAGGTTTGAACCTCCCTCTACTTTCACTTACTTTCACTAGTTTTCTTAAACTTATGTGAAACTGTTGTTTGTTGATATAGTAGAGTGTAGTATTCGTGTCTTGACCCAACCGAGAACCACAAGAGCTTTGCTTAGAAACAGTAGCTGATATCTCCACCGACGTGGGTTGCAGTGGAAGCGACAAGAGGACCCGTACCGAGAATTCGTCCCACGGTTTCTGTATGAACAACGTGCCGGAGGAAACAAGCAAGCTCCGACATTCAAGCCATGAAGAATCCAAGCTTCCTCCTTTTTAATTTTGTTCTACTAATTTTTGTTTTAGTTGAAACCATTCTATGGAATTCCATCTGATTCAATCACAGGTATATGTTAAGTATACAGATACGAGTGTTTTCATTGCAGGATGCATATATCTGCAAAAGTCGGCAAGATATTGCACGTGGGTAGCTTCACCTTTGATGAAAATTATCCATTTATTGATCATAGGAATTAGACAATTGTACACCAGTCGTTACTTTTTGTTTATTGCAATAGGACAGAAGGAAAAACAATAAAAATTAGGAAGGAAGACTCAGTGCCAGTTCCGTTCTATTGTGATTTAGGAGCATGGTTGAATTACGTGTAATATATCTGATTCATTGCATTTTGCAGTACTTGAAATAATTAACTGTAACATGAAAGTTATTCTTGTCCCTTCGTAAAAAGTTTTTATTTTACTTTTATAATTGGTATATCTGTATTTTACTGTTTACTTGGCAGGAACATTAAAATGCAACTACAAAAAATATGTACACAAATGTATTAAAACGCTTACTGTGTGAACTGCAATCTCACACGTGAACACTTAAAACTTGTGGATCATTTTTTGATGACATTTTTTGATGACAATAATGTGACTTCATTTTTTGATTTATAAAAAGTATCAAATTAATTTGTACACAATATAATAATACAAATTTTGGTAAATGACAGCATTGTTACACAGGAGACCTAGAATTTAATTTGTGAAATCAACAATGATCTATTTACATCTACTTGTGGTTAGTTTTTTTTATTTTAAATTTAAGTATCTTTATTCAACTTATTGCCTACAATCTTGTGCACTAAAAAACAAATAGTTGATAATCTAGCCAATAGATTTTGGACCTACATGATTTTGATTAATTAGATGATTCGTTATTTTTTCCTTTTAATATTAGAAATAAATACTTTTACTATTTATGGTTATATATATATATATATATATATATATATACAATATGTAGCTATGTTTTGTATTTCAAAGGCATATATTTGAATGTTTTTGCAATCTTTAGAAGAAAAAAATTAAAAATTAAAAAAAAAAAATGTACCTTGCAAGAAGTTACTTTTTCTAAATGAATTAAATTTAATTTAAAAGGATTGTGTGAATTAGGTTTAATACTTTAAAAAATATATGTTAGTACATATGTGCATATGTATACAAAAAAATTCATGCCAAATATTCTTGAAGATGAGATTAAAAATAACCTTGAAACTAAGAAGCAAGTTTTCAAATCAATGTGTAATTTGGTGTATATCATGTCTTAAATTTTTTGTACCTTGAAGCTGATATAAATATACAAGATAGAATCAAAGGTGATAATTATAATAAAAAAATTATGAATGTTTATGCATTGCAACCATATATCTACTTAACTCATGTGGATTTGTTTAATTTATGTGATTAGACATGTACAATGCAATTGTGTTCATGGCTCATTGAGATAAAGATAATAAATACTTTTTTTAGCACATGTATTATACTTATATATATATATATATAGAACATAGTGTTGAAACCAAAGTGTTACTTTCAACGAGATTGATTACACAAAAACGTTTACAAAAAACAATGTCAGAATAAATCAATGTCACCAAATATCATGCACATTAAAATACGGAGTGATATATTTACATTTCAAGAATAAGCTCAAATAATTCTAGGTTTGTGTGTTTCTAAAATTTATTTTTTTCAATTTAAATCTTCACAAAAATCTCAAATAGTATATTAACATTGATTTAAAAAAAATTAATACCATTAAATAATTTGGACGCCTTACACAGAATTTGCAGTGCCATTTAATTCCCATTCAATATGAATTTAATGTATCAACAAATAAAATGACATCTTATTATTACATTTACAGCAGCATAGAGTAAGCATTTCACATATAACTTAAACAACATGCTTAATACTCCTACATTACAAGAGCATCAAATAATTTTTTAAAAAGTAAAAAAGTAGTAAAAAGTAGGAAGAAAAGAAAAATCACCCAATAAAAGTCATAAAAACAAACTTTTCCCCATTAAAAAAAAGTAAGAATCTCCGAACAAAGGCATCAAAATAAAGTAAAAAAGACAGCCATAAGGGCGACTTTAAGGCACCAACCAAGCTTTAAATCAACAGGGAAGCTTTAAAGTAGCGGGAGGCGAAGAGAGTGCGGCGTTCAGCGAGAGCGAGAGAGTATAGAAACGTGGGGATGGGCCGAAACCACGAGGCTGCGCGAGGGCTTCAAGTTTCCAAGTGGCACACGAATCGAGCTTTCATCGTCGAATGCAGCGTCGAATTCGGTATCCAGAACCCTCTTCTTCCTCATTCCGGCCCCACCCAATTCACCCAAGGCCTGGATTCTGAAGCTGCGCACCCAGGAAGGGAGAGGATGAGAATGAGAGTTTGGTTTCTTCTTCTGGCAAATTGAGATCGATCACCACGCCCACGCTCTTCGAGGCTCATCGCTGTGACGGCGTATCGGTTTGTGTCACGGAGCCGCGCTTTGCTTGGAAGCAAGATTGTGAGAGGAAATTTGGAGTGGATCGTTGGCATGGCGCGCATGCCATGGCGTCGCACGCTACACCTCCTCCACCGCTCCATGACGGCGCCTGCTCGCCCCGCCGCTCCTTTCTCTGTATGTGCCGAGTTTGTGGGTGGCAATTGGGTGTGAGCGTGGTGTGAGGTTAAAGGGGATTTTTGCTGGGTTTTGGTGGGTTGTGGAGAATTTTTGTTTTCGTTTAGGGTTTTGAGAAGGGGAATGATGGTTTTTTATTTTGGTTTTTTTATTTCGATTTTTTTTTTTTTTTTTTTTTTGGATTTTAGGGTTTTTGGGTTGTGTGTGCAGCTGGTTTGTTTGATACGTTTGCGCTGGTCTAAGAGATTGATATAATTGATATTATTGAGGGATCTTGTGGGGTCGACATGGCCGTTTGTAGTAATTTGCATCTCTCTCTCGCTCTCGCTCTAGTTGTGCCTGCAGGAGAAGCATGTTTTGAAGTGCTTTGCGTTTATGTTTTTGAAATTGCGCAAGTTTTTCGAGATTCAGTTTGTAGTTGATTGGTTTGGTTATTTGACTGTAGATGCGTTGGTCTTGGTATAATTGGTTCCGTGGTAATTCTCAAGCTTAGGATATCTGGTGCCACTACCTTCCTCGTGTTGTAGTTTTATTTGTTAGTTTTTGTTTTTTCATATATATATAAAAAAATAATATATATATTATTGTGTGCAACTACGAACCATCTCTTAGTCATTGACATCAGCATGTTCCACAGGATTGGGTTATTGAAGCTTGAAAATATAATGCATGCGGAAAATTATTATTTAAGCCCTCAAACAAGATGTTTCTCTAATGTGTAAGGTTGAAGCGTGTAATTTCATTCTTGTTTTGAGCAGGACGAATTATGTAGTGAAACATCGTGGGCTCTGTCGACGAGAGTAGCGCATTTTTTCTGTCAAGATCAAAGTTCTGGTGCCGGAATAGGTGCGCTGCTTGGGCATTCAAGTGCGGACACTTCCTAGATTATTTTGAATGTCGGAATTCATACTCGATTTTTAATTTGTTTCCCACTTTATGTGTATCTCAGTAATTGCGATGTCGTCTGCGTGGGGTTGAAAATATAGGCTCTTCTTACTGGCGGCTAGTATTTAATCACCTAAAATCTACAAATTCTCTTGACCCCTTAAAATGTATTTTTGTTTTCCCAAGACTAGAGTAATCATGTGAGTTGACGGTTTATTCTTTTATTCCATAATATTCCACCAAAATCTCTGGTGTCAAAGTTGATCAGGGATCATGAAATTCAGTCAATAAGACGTTGATTTTTCAGGTGGTTTCAATCGACGTTGCAATGCTGAACGCGGCAATGAATCCATTAAGGCGGCTGCCAGGCGAAGTTTCCATTCAACAGGTACGCTCCTAGAGTATAGCACCCTTTTCAGTTTGTCCTATGGATCGTGCTAGCCTGTGTAAGAACAACCAATTTCTTTCTTTCTTTCTTTCTTCCCCCTTTTTTTTGTGTGTGGTTTAGTTCAGTACGTGCACTTTTCAACTTCTACTTGCTGTAGCACCTCTGAAAGTAATATTTTATTGAAATGTACCTGCTCGAGGACTGCAGGTGTCCAACATATGGCTCGACAGAACTTTTACGATGCTTTAGGATTGAAAAAAGGTGCCAGTGCAAAGGAAATCAAATCTGCCTATTATAAGGTACTAAGTCTGAACATGATCCTCCTAATTGTATACAAGGATACAAATGTATGTCTATATTCTTAGTTTTGGTCAACTACACTTTTCCTGCAGTAATCCTCCCTGTGATTATCTCAAATTATTACGCCGATCAGGGTATGGGAGGGATATTATTATCCGAGAATTCATCGAAGTAGCACGAGTGTTTGGTCGTGAAAGGGAGTTCTAAACTCACCACTGTGAATTTTTCAAAAACCTGAATATTTTTTGTATTCACTTTACCCTTGCTGCAGCTGGCCAAACAATGGCATCCGGATGTTAGCAAAGGGAATGCCGAGGCGGAGAGGAAATTCCAAGAGATACAACAAGCATATGAGGTGTGAATGTTGGCATGCATCTATTGTGCTGAGTTAGCGTGACTTAGCCATCAATTAGTTGAATTGAGTGCTTTTTAGATGATGTAATACCCAATCGAGTAAGATTCCAAACAGGATAAACAGAGGATTTTATTTTGGACTTGCTTTTTGTTTCAGTTAATTGTTCCATTGTGTTTGTTTTGACATGATGATAGTTCTTAAATTTTTATGTCTGTTGTGAAACCACTTGTAACTCTAGGTTTTGAAGGACGATGAGAAACGAGCCATGTATGATCAAGTGAGTTTTTTTTTCTTTTTTCTTTTCTTCTTCTTCTTCTTCTTTTCAACCTCACATCTGGGAATCGATACATTTAATGAATATAGGATGACATTTTCTCGAATAGTTCATGTATTTGTCAAGCCGTCTATTTCAGTTTTGTGATCCTTGGTTATCTTATCTTTTGAACTTGTCATGTCATTGCTATAGACCTGAATCTGCTTTGTACTAGTCCAGTATTCTATTCCACAAGCCTCATTTTGCGCTACCTCAGGTTGGCCACGATGCATTTGAGCAAGCAGCTGCTGGGGGTGCTCCTGGTGGTGGTGCCGGCTTTGGAGGGTTTGGCGGAGGCTTTGAAGGGTTTGGCTTTGGTGGGGATGCTTTTGGTGGAGGCATGGATGAGGTAATATTAATTGCGGTCCCATTTTTTCTCTTGTAAAACCTTGATGCTAAGGCCTGGAAGTGAGGCATCGGGCTTTGTTGTCGGTATTCTCGATGTTTTAATTAATACTGCTTCACTCATAGGATCATTATACGTTGCTTGTTGACAGGTGCTTCATCGAGTGTTTGGAGGAGGCAGAGAAGGGCGACCACACGTGCAGGTTATTTCTCTATTTCTTTTTATCGACATAAAATAACAATGATTCGGACCACCACGTCTATTGTGCGCTTAAATATTAAAAGGGTACTAGGGGTAATAAGACGATATTGCTGTTTCTTTCGAAAAGAAGTTTGCTGTTGCTCAAAGTGGTTGTTACTTTGTATCATCAGGTTCAGTTGGATTTAACTTTCAGGGAGGCTGCCCAAGGTTGTTCGAAAGTGGTGAATTTTCAGACGACTGTTCGGTGCCAACCCTGCAGTAAGTCACCTTTCTCTGGTCATTTCTGTGGGTTTTCTTTTCGTTTCTCTTCCTTTCTCTTCTTCTGCTGCTGCTGCTGCTTCTTTTTACTTTCTCTTATTTTTCTCCTTTTCTACGTATTACTGGTTACTTTCAATTCAGTTAAAAGGTTGCTCCTGTGGCGAAGTAGCGGTATAGTATTCATATACTATTTTGAATATACGTCGCGAACATCACTTGATCTTCTAGGCAGATTGAGATACTTGCTAGGCTAGTTAATCTATTGCTATACCGCATAGTACCCGAAAAAGTGCATGCCGTGGATCTTTCGGTCTTTTCTAAGAAAACATCATTAGATCTGATTGTATCGTACGTTTGGGTTATGCTTTGTGCAGATGGAAGTGGGCTGCCCCCAGGAGTACAACCTCAGACATGTAAAACCTGCAAAGGACGTGGCAGGGTAAGTTCTTGTGTTGTTCACTTCCAAAATATTGTGCTGCATGTGTTGTCTCAAACTTTTTTGGAATACTAAATATTTGCCAGAAGTGGTTTACCTTCTCATAAGCTGTGCAAGAGTACATGCTTGCAGAGGAGAGTTGAAAGACGCTCTTAAATTCTGTTGCTTTGGTTTTTAATCTAAGTTTAAATTTTTACTTGTTTATAATTCTAATTTACTTAAGGAACCGTTGTTCTTGATGCCTTGCGTGCAGATTGTAGTGCAGCAAGCGTTCTTCACTTTTGAGTCAACTTGCTCCACATGTGGTGGATCTGGTCACATGGTTAAGGTATTCATCAAGCTTTGTTACGGATAGGTTAGCCATACCTTATAATGTTCAATGAGGACTGTTAAGTGCAACTTGGATAGATTGTTGTATGAGTAGAAGTATATGAAAGATGATGTCTATGGTGGAGCGGGTTATTTCTTCATGTAAATCATATCGTGTTGGGGTTGCTGTGCAGGATCATTGTCGTAGTTGCCAAGGGGCCGGAGTTGTGAAGGGAAACAGAGAAGTGAGAGTGGATATTCCTGCTGGTCAGTATTATACTTCGAGCACCCCTGTTTTTTTCTTATCTTAGTTGTGATGTAAGTTCACATCTCTATTTTTACAAAAACTTCTCAAGGGGAACATCTAAGTGTGGTCAGATGATTGAGTAATTTCTGTTGGAGGCTCTGCATGCTATCTTCCTTATTCCATACAGTGATATGATGAGAAATGTGCGGAAGTATGACATGGGAACATTCTTGGGTATCAGGAGTGGAAAGTGGGACAACCTTAAAGGTGCATGGAGAGGGTGGAGAAGGACCCAAAGGTGGCCGACCTGGGAATCTCCTGTTGCAAATCAGAGTAAGTAACGAGTATTTCTCTTACTATTGTCATCATACTGAAAATTGAAATTGCTCTACTATGTCAAATTTTGGCAGGTTGTTAAGCGTATGTTTGACTATTGATGCATTGTTTCCTGATTTACTAAATGATTTCTGTCCGTCATTTTGCGAAGGTACAACCTGACAAGGTATTCAAAAGAGAAGGAGCAGACATATATGTGGATATTCCGATTCCTTTTACCCAGGCCATCTTGGGTGGTTCGGTGCAAGTTCCTACGTTGACTGGTGATGTAGTACTGAAGGTTCGGTTCATTTCATCTCTCCTCATCTATAAATTTCCGCCTCTGTTTTTCTTCCTTTTCTTTTTTCCTAAAACTTTTGCAGCAATGCATATGAGTTGATGTTTAACGTGTTGAACGGATGTTGAGTCAGCAGTGGGATACCGTGTCTCCAGCATCGTTTGTATGCTGATTGTGGATGTCGCTTTGCAGATTCGACCTGGCACACAGCCTGGACACAAGCAAGTCATGAGGGGCAAAGGTATTTTGTTCCTTGACTAATTGTGTGTGCCAAATGATAAAGTTGGCCGATTGTTAGTTCATTTTATTACTACAAGTTTTGCATGTTCTGTAGCATTTATCACCATTTCGGAAGTGGGTCATATATATATGCATTTGTATTTTTCTGCTACTAACGGATTGCTTCTTTTGAACAGGCGTAAAAGTTTTGAATTCGAGGCACCATGGTGATCAGTACGTGCTGATTAACGTGACTATTCCTACGTATGTTCTACAACTCTGAATGTGAATTGATAATCCTTCGCTGTCGTCCGGCTATCTGTTTACTTTCCGCTCATAACTAAAGCTGACGTGGAGGGTTGGCTGGGTCTGTAACAGGAATATCACACAGAGGCAACGACAACTTATTGAAGAGTTTGCTGGAGAAGAATCTTCAGAGCCCGAGACAGCCGCTGCTGAAGGCAGTGGATGACGCCAGGCCTTTACAAGATTTTTTCGGTGGTTTAAACCAGAGTAGCTGGGTACGAAAGCTTTGTATGATTTTAATGCCGAGGGTTGCTCCTTGCGGACCATTACTTCTCCGTGAAGTTAGCTTGGGAAGCGATTTATGACTCGATCAGTGCTGTTGCGCACGCATTTACTACGAGCAATTAGGTGTGCTATTGATCATAATTTTAACAAGCTCGATAGTAGAAAGCTGCAAGAAAAGTGACAAGGAATTTCTTTAGTCCTACGATACTTTCCCCTAGTCATGATGCCAACCGTCTTGTTGCAACTTCCCTCTTATAGTGCTTATCGAGTAACCAGATTTTTTGTTTGTTTGTTTTTTTTTTTGTTTTTTTTTCCCCTTCAAATCAGTGCTCCCTGAGGGATAATGGTCGACGCATATTGACAAGTACCTAACAAGGTTAGCTCTCGCCGGGGAAATCTTTAGAGCCAGAGACATTTTTATCAAACGTTGATGGAGAAACAGTTGTCTAATATGCTAGGTAGGGAGTGATTAGTAAATTTTTTGGTACCCCTTTATTTAGTAGGGTGACAAGAAAGAGGTGGCTCTGCAGAAAACTGGCGTAGCCTATAGCAGGTAAATTGTAGCTATTGTAGGTGAGAGATTTTGAAGTTAGAACGGAATTTGAAGTACCCTGGAGAGTTTTCCTCATCGCAAGTGATTCTTAGTTATTTAGGTTAGCAAACAAGTTCTTATATAAGCTTCACATCATGCAGTTTTGACTGCTTTTGCAAATGACCATTATGGATGCTTTTGCAAATAAACATCCATTATTTCTTTTTGCATCGCTTTATGATGAGGTGTTGGATAGTTGTGCGTGTGGGTCTACCTACATCTTATGTAACTATCTACCCTCAGCTTGTGTTTCTGCATGAATTTCCTGTTCTATTACTATTAGCATATATCTATTATGACTATCTCGTCGCTCTAACACTGTGCTTTGCTTAGCATTATCAACTTTCACACCGGTAGTCATGTGCTGCACTGTACAGTACATATTGTGTGTATACTCCATTTTTGGGTTTGTTGTTATACCGTAATGATGCAAACGTAAAATACGCTGTACTTCTGATGACCACATTTAAATAATTTATCTGCCAAATCAATATACTTATGGGATAATTTATACAGATGTGTAATGTGGTTATCTGTGTGAATCTAGCCCACCAATTCCTGTTACGTTTTGATTTGGTATTATCGCTATCAAGAAGTTAAAACAACAACGTTAAATTCCAGCGATTACCACAACTGGAGAGTATCCCATATCACGAAAGGAGATACTTTGTTATCATGAAGATAAAATAGTATAAATTAGAAAACACTCAAATCCACACACTGAGTTTTTGAAACAACCAGATGTGGTATATTTGATTGTTTTTATACCAATGTTAAACATTCTGAGATAGAGCTACATAATTTAATTGTTACATATGCTGGTCCTATGTGCATTAATATTTTGCAATATTGCAACCCCTAAACTCAGCACATGTAAAACACGACTATCAAATCAAAAGACCCAGACGCAAACTTTTGAAGCCTCAACGATCTCACGTTCTACAACAATTTCATAATTTATTTCGATTTTCTCACTTTGTAGAATTGTAAACAAGTCTGAATTCTCACATCAAACGAAAACATGATTAAAAAAATCCTGGTTTTGGTTAGGCAACTGATGTGTTAACAACCCATTGCATCACATACTTCGGTGGGAAAATAAACAGAAAATAAATAAATAAATAATGTTCGCAATGAAGCTCCCAATAAATCATGGGGCACCTAAACCCAAGGAAAGATACCGTGGATGGTACCACGGTCGAGGGCACCCATCCACGGTCTTGGGGTCCAGATGTGTTTTTTTTTTTGTTCAAACCCTAGTTTAGACCCTTTGGAGACATTCTATCAAATTTTGTTTTGGTTTCCTCCGAGTTTGCTCTCTTGCTGGACGTCTTTATTGATTTCGCAGCGTTGGTGTCGGTTCCTTGCCTCGATTTTGCGAACATGGTGTGTTGGTCCCGCGTTTCAATAAAAAAAAGAAAAATGGATTTTTCTGGATTGTTTTTAGGAGTTTTTTTCTTTTTCTATTGAGTTGGAGGAGTTGAAGGCGTTGAAGGAGCTTTTGCTGTGTAGGTTGATGAATGAATGAGTGAATGCTTGGCCGAGTTTACTCGTCTTCGAGGTCTTCTTTCGGATGCTGTGGGGGCCTCGGTAAAGTATTATGTTGATTTGGATCCAATTATTCGTTGTTGGTGGTTTCAGGACGGAATTCAGCTGCCACACGATGTGCTCGGATCGCATGACTCGCTGCGACACGGTTTGCCTGCGTTTAAGAACGATATGTTGCCCGTTCATCCCGTGGAGATCATTCAACGAACTGTAAGATATCGATACCCGAGTTAGGATTTTGTCTTAGTTTAGTTGGGATGAAATTGTGTGACTGACCACATCAGATGGGCTGATCGGGAGCTTTGTTTTGTTTTTTTTTGTTTTTTTTTATACTTCTCTTTTACCAAAATGTCGTGAGTTGTTTTCTGAGCATCGTTTGAAATTTCCGGGAGGAGAAGCTCTGGTGAGCTGATTTTTCTGCATTGTATGCCCCCCTCTGGTTGAAGTTATGGTGATGGAGTATAGTCAGAATCCAGGGTTTCGCCTCGCACAGACACAGTTGAAGAAATTAAATCACTGTCTATTATTTATTTTTCATATCTGGTTGCCAACCACATAATTCGAAGCTTGTAATAGGTCTGCCAAGTCCCTTGATCAATTTTTTGCAGTGCTGGAGCCGTTGAAGTTGCAGCTGGTTACTTTGTAGGTGTAGAGTTCAGAAATTTTGACTGGACCCTATGTGGGCTGTATTTTGTGAAGTCCAAAAGCATGCAGGCGCAGACGAAACGCACCTTGCTTGAGAGGGCTTATGGCTCAGCTTTCCCTATGAAAATGGACATTGAACGTCAAATTCTGACACGGCAAGAAACTCAACTGGATATCATTCTCAAAGTTCTCCATAGCGTTGAACACCAAGTTCCCTTAATAGTGCATTATCCTTAGATTTGTTCTGGTCAAGTTTTCAATTATAATTTTTCTTAATTTAACGCTTCTTGACTTCTCAAACTTCTTATATAGTTAAACTATGTGAACAGTTTGCTACATCTTCAAATTCCAACTTCTTATCAACTGTACGTATCGCGTGCTTGCACAGATTCCAGCGCCCAACTGGCCTTATTCCTTCATCCATGCTTGGTCTTGAGTCATTGACTGGAGAATTAGACGAATTTGGATTTGAAGACTTCTTGAATGGCAAGTTCTTTTCACTTTTTTCATTTTTGGAAATCGCAACATGTGAGGTGCCTTTTACAGCCTGATTTTCTTAAATTTAAATGATCAAATCTTTCAGATTTATCAAACATTGTTGAATCCTTCAAGTGTTGTGCAAGAAGTGGCATCACTCACCGTCTGGTGAGTTCTCTGTCCATGTTTCCAAACTGAAACTTCGTGTTGTGTTCAGATCCGAAGGAGTCGGATACGTTCGTTCCTCAGGATATGCATGAAAGCATGGAGGTTCGGCTTGGTCTGTCAAAGGGCCCCGTTTCACGCATGTTCTTTTAATCTTCGTTAAAGTTATCAGTGAAGATGCTAACTTTTTGAGTCGTGTGATGGAATTGTAGAACAACGTTGCATCACTGTGGTCACGAAGTGCATCTTGCCGACTGTGGCTTTGTTGAACTACGTAGAATGTACATACGATTAAATGCTAATCGTCTTACCTTCAGTCATCTCTGGCATTTTGGTGTTCTAATCTGCTTTTCTTAAAAATATCTTCGTTTACCTTTGTTCTCTCTTGTTCCTTAACCTCAAGTTTACTTCTCTAGGTTTATAGATTGATCACATTCTATTATGATTACATTACACTATTGTTTGTTTGTTTGTGGGTCTACATTCCTTTATGCACTGTTGTTTAGTTTTTGGTTTGCTTTCTTGGTTCCCTAGTAGTGTTCAACGTTACATTCTCTTCTGGAAGGGGCAGGTTTTTTCTCTTGGGTGGATGGAGTTGGTATGTCATCTGTCAACTGTCTGTAAAGCAATGAATACCAACTACCAACCTCGTCAAACCCCATGGTCGCCATCATTGGCTGGACCCTTCTGAAGAGTAAAGAAAATGCCATTATGTATTAGATTTTCAAGGCAAGAGCTTCTTTGAGTGCATAAATTTTTACACTGGGAAAGATTATTATGATGCTGCACCTCCTCAATAGGGTTTGTGGCGGTGTACATATGTGAAACTACATGCGTCTCTTGGTAGCCTTTTAAAGCGAAAATCCTCTTGCAATTATCAAGTATACCCGTGTAGCCTTACCCAAAAGCTCTGTGCAGTAAAGTAGAGACAAATTCAATGATAACTCTGTTTGTGGATGTGAAGAACACGTTGGCAAGAACAGTTCTTACTCAAAAGAACAAACCTAAAGTACTGTCTGGTTCATCTTCAAATCAACCAAACTACGGCTTACTTCTACTTTAATTGCCAAATGTATTTGATGAAACATGTTACAAAATAACAAAAATAAATTACTGTAACGTTGATGATGTCATTAATCTAGAGTCCATGTGGAAGCGCTACCAGGTGGATTTATTTATTCATTTAAAACTTAATGTTTTAGTCTTTCAACATGCGCAATGTTGTTGCTACTAAAACATTTCCTTGTACTTGTTCACAAATCTTGATTATCTGTTCGGTAGTTTGAATCCCACAAGCACTGCAGTGTGAACAGAAAACCAACACATCGCGCTATTTCTTTCCTCGGTTCCACGCGGGGTTCATAACGTTGGGAGCCTGCGAGGCGGCATGCTTTGCCGCGCGGTTTCGACACCAGCGTGGTTAAGGCGAAACCCTAACCCTGCTCCTGGTGGTGATGGTGGAGCTCATAGCTTTGCTTTCTTCATCTTTTACGTCTTCTCCCTCGTCGTGGTTGTATCCCTTCCTTTGCTTGTGTGCTTGCTGACAATCGTTGTGCGCCTGGGGAGCCACCGACGGCTCGCTTGGACCCGTAGTCTAGTCGGAATTCGAAGGAGCTTTTGTGGAAATATGATATATGACGTGAACTCCGCGCTGTTCCGGTCCTTTTTGAGCCAGAAGGGCGCCGGGGACAAGCGCAAGCCGGAGGTCCAGCAGCCGGGCAACCAACAGCGGGCGCCCAAGGCCAACGAGAACAAGCCCGTGATGAATGAGTGACCACCGTCTCGCCATGGTTCCTTGTCGCTTGGGTGATGAGGATGCGGCGGAGGATCCCTCTTGGGCGTTCTGGAAAGATGGAGAACTTATGCGACATCATTGTTAGCATCTCTCGTAGCTTTTGAGAATGAACGGTGGAGGTGGGGTTAGCGCTGTAGCTAGCTTTGTAAGTGGGATGTGAATTTTCAGTCTCTTGGAAAGCCTTGCATGAGAAAATGAGGGTGGTCAATGCTTCAGTGTTTCGCATGCGTTGTTTGCCTCGTCCAATCCACGGTGATCAGACATGGTGGGGTTTTCCTTAGCACTGGACTTCCACTTGTTCACTGCCGGGAGCAGTTGCTTTAACTTTACATTGACTGCTAAAGTCACGTCCGCGATGGTACTTTGTTGGTCGATCACGGTAATCGATCATATACTCTCTGAAATTTTCTCGGCTGATTAGTATATTGGAGCGCGCGTTCTGGGACTTCTTGGTGCAATTCGTCGTATGATTTCCGTTTGGTCTGTAAGGTTTGTGCTGCCCTCGTTTGTTCGAAATGTGTCCACATATGTTGTTTGCTCTAGTACGCCTTTATTCGACTTTTCAATGACATTCTTTTTCGTTTGAGGTTTTTCTTTCTATTTCATGAATACGTTACTTGTCATCCCGCAGTGTGTCAGTTTTTAATTTAATTTAATTTAACATAATTTATTTTTGTGGTCGAAAGCAAACCTGCACTAAGCCGGGACTAAGCATTTTCTATCGGTTTGGAATGTTGGATACCCGGGAGCTGTTTTTGAAGCATGTGGTTTTACTCCACACCAACGGCATTTCCGTTTTTGATTTGTGAGTCTCTCTATTTCAATTTCCCAAGTATTATGAATCTTGGTTCTGCGAACTGACATTCTGTTTGAACTCTGAATGCCATTCGTAGGAGTGAAGCATCTGATGCTGATCAGTTTTCATTTTTATTTCTGATACATGAAGACAAAGTTTCGCACGAGACCTATGTAGTAAAGTTTCATTCGTTCCATCTGTCTGGATTCGCTTTGAGAAAGGGAGCCTTTTCTCTTTCATAACGATGCAGTTGTGTTCAAGTCTTCTGAAGTCTGCTGCATCACATATTCCATTCAGGCTTCATTCATCCATTGATTGCTGCAGCAGAGAACCTAGTTCCGAAATGGTGTAGAATAGTCTCATATTTAAAAACCCTTTGTACGCAATGCGTTCTCAAATGTTTTCTACTCGGAACCTCCAAGCATTCGCTCCATGTCTGGGATCAACTCACACAGGACGGGTGATGTTGAGAAGTAACATTTGTTGCCACAAATCTATACAGCCGACAGCTTAGTCATCTTGATCTGATGCTGCAACAGAATGATTTCTCTTGACAGACTCGAGGATCCTGGAGCAACGGTCCTATATTCCCTCGGGCAAGATAAGTATCAAAGTTATGCTACCCGCGTTGTTTCCGAAAAGTTAACGTTGTCTCTGGAACGAAGTATAGAGGATGGCACAACCAGCGCAGGATGATGCTGCGACGAAGACCCTGAGAGCACCAGATCAGGTCACGTTTGAAAATAACAGTGTGGTCCCAAAGCAGCCGACGATGTTCAAAAGGGCATGCTTTCCTCGACGAGTGGCTTTATACAAAAGCCGTGACCATGACCGGCACGCCACCTCTCAACCTTCGTCAGACCGGGTCTCCCGACACTGCTAAAATAATTGGATTCCGCAATCACTTCCACCGCAATTGATCTATCCGAAGGAACGTCGAAGCATATATGAATGCTATTTTGACGTCAGCCAGCACAAACTGCCCCCCCCCTTTTTCCACCACATCGACACCTCCAGGGGCCGAATCCTTAGCCAACGGCACTTTCGTACACATCGCTGGCGGGATCATCAACAACAACAACAACAATAACTACAACTTCCTCCTATCCCAATCTAAGAGAAACCCAATACAATTTTAGCCGACAGACATTGCAGCCGAAGTGATTTGATAGCTGCCTGGGGGGGAGTTTGTAACAGGAGTTACAGTGAACTTCATCCACGTCTGTGTACGCAGCCGTGGCCGTGCTCCTTGTCTGCATGTGGGTGATGACACACCACAATGAATGAAGTAAACTCTACAGCGTCAGTGGCATATGAAGCTGCTGTGATGACGGAAAGGGAAAGAGAAAGGAAAGAAAGAGAGGTGCCGAGCATTAAAGAATTGGGAGAGACACGGTCAGGTCAAAAAAGCATGATGGGTGGCGACTGGTGTGAGTTACCATTTGCGACAAGCGTGTTTCCCCGCATCGGAGAAAGATTCCGCTTATTACTTTCTCCGGAGCTTGCCCCTCCTTTCCTCTCTTCCCCGCTCGGCCCCCTTCGCCCTCCCAAGTCTTTGAGTGTGATGATTGTGTGTGTATGTGTGTGTGTGTATGTAAGTTTCGGCGAGCCTGGGAGCTGCAATTGGTTGCGGAGCGGGCGTGAGTGGCAATCTGCCCAAGTGGGTGTGGGAACAGTGAGTGAATGCGGATGAGCGTTGCCAGCGAGGTGGAGATACGTGACAGGGTATGCTGGCATCTGAGCTTCTTGTCTCCCCGTGTGTGCTGCCACGGTTGTCTCTTTGATGCCCCTAAGAAAGGCTTTTACGTCCCTCTGTTGCGGGTGTCCTCTGGAGTTGTGTGTGCCAGAGAGCTGTTGTGCAGGAGGTTTTGGAGACAGCCTTCATTATGGTTCTCTGGGGCCTGACAAGCTCTGTGTGTCTGGACTGTGGTTTCCTCTCCTCACCTAGGAGGTTGGGTGTTTGTGTTGTCGCAGCGTCGTCGAGTGTGGTTCGGTGGCGCACCATGCGAGTGATCGGAGAGCCTTGAGAGATATATTGTGAGGATTTTGGTGACGTTAGCCGAAAGTAGATTAAATTTCAGTTGTTTCGTGTGAGTTGCGAGTGCACTTCTGCGTCGAATGTCGGATTGGGTCGTTATCTGCCGCTTTCGTTGAAAATTCGTTGGAAACATTCTTTGGAAAGAGGTAGAGGAGAGAAGGGTAGTTGTTTGTATTTATTTTTATTTCCTCCTTTTGGTGTGAGATGCTGTTAGCTGGGTATGCGCTCACACTAGAGCTTGGAATTTCTGCACAGGAAAGGGTTGGTGTTGAGTAGGGAGGTCGAGGGGTGAATTTGCAGCAATCGATTCCTGACGTGTGAAGACAGCGGCTGAAACGGATCTTGAACTTCTGTACATTGCCCTGTTTCCTCTGGTCCGTGGTTGCTGAACGTAGAGATTCTAACAGCAGCACGATCTCGAGGTGTGCACGTCAATCATTTCCCCTTCCCCTGACTAAATCGAGCATTCTGGGTTCTCTCTCTCTCTCTCTCTCTCTCTCGCACACGCACACACACACACTTTCTTTCTCGTGCCGTATTCTGTCCATGATAGATCCATCTTCCATAGCCGTTCCATGCGTTTTTTTGTTTTATCAAGGTTGTGAGGGTTCAGCCATGTGGGTTATACTCTAGATTTCTCTTCTGTTGTTTCCGTCTTGAAAGCAAGATACTGTCAGAATTTTGCCTGACTGAAGTTTAGCGTTTCTGCTTCTAGAATTGGTTTTCTCCCCCTCTAGGTCTCTCCGGCGATGGCGATGGCCCAGATGGCTTCCAAATTGGCACGGCGAGTAATGGGAACCGAGACGCCTGTCATGGTTCAGGTACGATTACTCTACCTGCTGAAACGCCTACGACGATGGCCTAATCGATCAAGTAGAAGGTTTTGTTTAGCGAGCAATGCGGACATCAGTTCCAGGTTTTAGAGAAACTCTTTCTACCCCTCAGCGTTAGATAACTCTGCTCAGGTATGGGAACTGCTACCAGGGCGACGTCTTCCTTTTCTCGTAGTTGGATCAGTATTTTTAGCGAGTCAATGCCTTTGTATTTGCCTTAGCCCTTAGACAGAGCAAGGTGCAGCCCGATTGAAACAAACGCAACTAATTTCTAATGTCTTGGGTCCTTTCAGGAGATCTATTTGGATATAGTGTTAGAGCTGTAAGCCGGAGTAAATAGTGTCAAAGTAAGCGTGTACAAATTTATATGACTTAGCTCGCAGTGCAGGGACTGGTTACCTTTAATTCAAATGGTTTTTGAGGTTTAGAAGAGTTTGCGAAACGTTGTCGCTTGCCCTTGCTGTTAGTGTCGGCTGTAATTGCAGCTGAGCGACTTTCAGTTCTATTAGATGCATGGACATGTTTGTCGAACTCAAACCGTGCGTGAAAGCAGATACGCTCCACGTCTTTATTGTTTCATCTGATAACGTGCCACTGCATTTACTCGGTGTATTTTCACACCTGTCAACATGACATCAGAGAGATGTGTGTTCATTTCGACGCTTTTCATCCATCTGTATTCTGTATTTGTATTTGCAGATGCAGGAGTTGTTACGTGGTGCAACAGATGTTATATCATTGGCACAGGTGCATCTGTCTCTCTGATCTGCCGTGCACATTCTGGCCGTCTCATTCGTAGTGATAACCGAGGAGATTGAGACGGCTGCTGAAAAGAAATGATTTAAATACCCAAATAATGTGGAGTCGTCCAAAGAGCTGTTCAATGCTGATTGTGAGATAACCTTATTGATGATGACTGTAACTTGGCGGCAGCGCCTATTCCAGCCTCTTATGTTGATTGACGTATTACTTTTTCTTCAATGAAGCTTACAAATGATATTCTTCAGGCATACCCCTATTTTTCTTGAGTTATGGTGAACCATTCCCACACGTAAATTGCTAACCTGGGAAGAGGGAAGGCAGGGTGTAGTGCATTGGCAGCCGCCTGAAGAAGCGTTGTCGAAGATAAAAATTATTGTCGACGAGCCCTCAACAAGCCAATATGGTGCAGACGAGGGCCTACCAGAACTTCGAGAGGCTCTTTTAGAGAAGGCATTGTCCAATTTCTACTTAAATACTTTTTTCGATACTATTCTTTAGAGACGGTGAAGTGTAGAGTGATGTGCATAGCATTAACTGATTGAACACGTTTCTTAGTCAGCACTATACCTGATTTTTTTGAAGTTCAATCCCTCTGACCGGATTTATATTTATGTGGACTACAGCTAAAGCGGGAGAATAAGCTCTACAGCTCCTCTGTTATGGTTACTGCAGGTGCTAACCAGGTTAGTATGTCCTGTAAACTTCTGCTTCCTTTGCGTGGAAATATTTCTTGTCTAGCCACCCTAAATCAAGGTTTAATGTAACATCTGAGTAGCTCAATTATTGTAGAATATGTCGCATCGTCTTCTGAGTTCGTTGTGCTCTCTGGCGTTCTTTGGCGTAATGAACATGTGACGTCTGACTGTTGATGCTCTTCATATTAATATTGTTGGTTTGATGTTCGATACTCGATAGGGTTGGTGTAGATTTTGTAGTGAATTTGAAACTTTCTATGCTTTGTCTCGTACTTTTATCTCTCTATTTTGCAGTAATTTGAGCATTTGTAGGACGTGATTTCTTTCCATTTTGGTTATTGTCCGAATTTCTGTATCGTTACAAGTTCACCAATTGTGAATTTGGGTTTGTTCCAGGCCTACGTGAACGTGGTCCTCACACTGTGCGATCCAGGAGACAGAGTGGTCTTGTTTGTGCCCTATTATTTCAATGCCTTCATGGCCTATCAAATGACAGGTGTAACTGACATTGTATTGGGTCCGAGTGATTCTGACTTGCACCCAGATGCAGGTTGGTTATGTCTTCGAACTACTTACTCTTGGGATTGTCCCAGATCAAAATGAACTTATCGTCTTCGCAACTATGAAATTCTCACACCTTCGTAGTACTGTTGTCTGAACGCAACTTTCATGTGATTAGTATGTGCTCATTGTTGTAGATTGGTTGGAGAAATTACTACAAAATAAGGATCCAAAGAAAATACCTAAGGTGGTGTCTATCGTCAATCCTGGCAACCCCTCTGGAACATACGTTCCTGAACCACTCTTAAAGGTACTAATCACCTCCAGTTTAGAGGTTGTAAAGCTTACTCGACATGTTGGTTACATCTCCTGAATTGTCTCCTGCTTAGTCAATCTGAACAAGTCTCTCGTTTTGTCTCTGAATTATTGACTGACGTTCTTCTGGTTAAATGCAGAGGATATCAGAGATGTGCCGAGAAGCTGGGTCTTGGCTCATCGTCGACAATACATATGAGTAAGACCTTGATGACACACAACATTTCTGAATCTTTAGCAGCTTCCTTCAAGTGCCTAGTGTATTTTAAGAACTTCATGGCACATCCAGCGTATTCACTCTAGATTGCATTAAGCACTGATTTATTTTTACTAAAGTTAAGGTACCAGTCTTGATTCTGAGGTGATTGCACATGGGAACAGATATTTCATGTACGATGATTGTAAACACGCATGTATCGAAGGCGATCACATAATCAACATATTTTCATTCTCTAAAGCACATGGCATGATGGGATGGAGAGTTGGCTATGTAAGAACTCTTCCAAATTCCTCAACATGCTTGATTTTCCGTGCCTCGTTTCTTTCAGTGCATTTTATGGTAGCATCACCAGTTTCCGAATACTTTGTAACAAGTGGCTGTGGGCTGTCTTGTTGATGTTGCAGATCGCATATCCGGCTGGGGTTGTAGGAATGGGAGCGCAGTTGCTGAAAGTGCAGGACAACATCCCCATTTGCGCATCCATAATTGGCCAAAAATTGGCGCTCGCAGCGCTGCAAGTGGGGCCCGAGTGGGTGCTGGAGAGGGTGCAGAGATTAGGGAAGAATCGAGAAGTCCTGCTGGAGGCACTCTCACCTCTGGGACAGGGCGCTGTGAAAGGTGGGGAGGGCGCCATCTACCTCTGGGCCCAGCTGCCCAAGGACAAGGCGACAAACGAAGTTGCTGACGACGTCGCAGTTGTCAGATGGCTCGTGAAGAGACACGGTGTGAGTGTGATCCCAGGAAGCGCCAGCGGGGGCGCTGGCTTCATTCGCATCTCTTACGGTGGATTGACGCAGGAGAAATGTCACATTGCCGCCGCTAGGTTAAACAAAGGTCTGCAGGAGCTTGTCGACCACGGCATGGTCTAGCTCTTTTTTGCGAGCTTTTTGATAGCCCACTCTCCCGTTTACATTTGCTTTCGGCATGTTGAAGTAGGCCAGAGCTTTCGTAGCGATTGAAGAATTGATAGAAATTCTTAAGAGCAGCACACGAAGACTCGTGTACATGATGATGTTTTGTTATCCATACGGAATCCCAATTGAGGACACATTCTTTTCATTTCCTTAACATGAAGGGGGACCAGCATCATTCTTGCACTGATTTGAAACAATTTTTATACTCAATTCACTTTTGCAAGCGCAAAAACTGGGCGCACCAAATGATCTCTAGAGATATAGTTTAAGAGCAAACCATGTCGCACCTGAAATACAATTTTAGTGATACCCAGGAGACGATTTCCGGAGGCTTCGTGGTGAGATACGATTCGATTCGATTCGATTCTCGCCCCAGAACGAGAGAGAGCTCTGCAGCCGTGAGTTGTGGATAAGAAGTTCGCGAGGTGCCGTCGATGTAGCAAACCGTCGTGAGGGAATTTTGTCGAAATGAATAAAACCCACACCCCGAAAACAAGAGTCACCCAGCAAAATTCTAGCGACGTCTGTTTACAGTGCGACGGTGGAGCTGTAAAAAACGCATTGAGAAGGGTCTCTGAAAAGTGCAGGATTATGGGTCAAGCGATTATGAGGTGGAACCCCGCACTTTAACTCGCGTCCGTCGCGGACTTCACCCTGCCCCGTCATCGTCGTCAGCCCAGAGCCCGTGCCCACCACCTGTCTTCGATCCTCATCTCGTCATCCTCTTCACACGCCCTTGCATAATTCCTGGGCTAGCAAATTGGTGACACAATCGCAATCCCGCTACGTGAGTTGCTGCTGCTGCTGCTGTAGAGTGCGTCGTTTGCGGATTTGCCTTGCGCTTGTTGAAGGAAGTGGGTGATTGGACGCAATGGCAGCTGCTGGGTTGGCGGTGCAAGATGTGGTTGGAATCTTGGCGAAGCATGGACAGAAGATGGGTGCATTGGGCGACGTGAGGGGTCTCTGCGCACCCATCGACCGGATGGCGCTCAAGAGCTCCTTCAACAATGGAGGCAGGGCGTTCTCGGCTGCCGTGATCATACCTGAGGGCCTTGGGTCTGCGCCTCCGAGGATTACCATGCGCGCTGCAGCTAAGACTGCCTACATCTGCCAGGACTGCGGGTATGTCGTCGCTGCCTTGTGCATGAACATTAGATTGGTACCTTGTTGTTTGGCTCTTCGACCTTGTCCCTTTAAAAGATTGGTGAACTGGGTTAGGCATTGGGAGTACGAATCCTATTAATCGATGACAGGACGAATGTGTTTAGTGGAGGGGGGGGGGATGCAAAGATAGAGTGCGGCGAGCTTCTCCCGTGTTAGTTTAAGAAATTCTGTCATCATTTCCATGGTGGGTAGCACAGTGCTGAGAACAATCTTTATGTTGTGGAAGCGAGGCATCTCGTATCCACATGGAATTGCTCATTTACTGTTTCTTGTAATCCTCTTATGGCTTGCCATAATTTGTTCTGTATCGACTGTACTGAGGTCTAAATAATTCTGTTATTCAATCGATAAGTGCCTCCCCTATTGTGACGAGCAGCGTTGTTTTGGAAAGAGCCATTTTGTATTCTATGATCCCCTCGACGTATGAGGAAATTGATTGTTTCTCCCTTTACAGTAGCAGAATTGTGACTAGGCTCTTGACGGCCTTCAGGATGCCATCTAATAGTGTTGCACTTGCGTCAACAAACACTGGAGGCAAATCCTAATCAGAAATTATTATACTAGCTCTGTATCATCATACTAATCAGTTAGAGGGTTGTCATGCTCGTATTCATGTGCTCTTTGCTGAATTGTGGTTTTGCAACAGGTACATTTACAATGATAAGCAGCCATTTACATCGCTACCTACCGACTATTCTTGCCCCGGTAACTTGCCTACCCTCGCAGCACCTCCTCCCTGTACAGATTGCATGTTCGCTGTCTAAAACATCCTCAAGCCTTGCTTTCATTGGTGGACGATTGTTGCATGTTCCTTTTTACAAGTTTGTGATGCGACGACATTACGTCAGAATCTAGATTGATGTGTTGTTGTTCGTTATTTTTAGAAATCGATTTTGCTGCCACTCTTAATGTCGAAGAGGTGTCTGGATAATTAACTGGCTGTCTCCCTGTCGGAAGAGTATTTCCTACAACATACAATTCACTAGATACTCTTCCCAGGGTAGATTTGAATATAAAATTGTGAGTTATCTATTGTAACTATTTCGTCATTATATTGTCAGATAGATGTTTCAACTTACAGAGACTAGATTAACAAGATTTGCCATAGACTAACATGATTTGTTGGGGAAGTCTGTCTTGCACCGAAGAGAAGGTTCAAGGTCTACGATGCACCAGTGGCTAGGAACGCCAACGACTTGGCTGTTCGGAAGGCCCGCAAGGAGGAATTGAAGAAGACAAATGCAGCATTCGGGTCAGTTATTTGTTCTGTTATCTCAAGAGTCTAAACGAGTGGTTGCTGCAACGAAATTATTTTAGTTCTCTTGTCGTCAATTTCTTCTGGTGTCGCACTATCGTCACTCCTGTGAAAGCCCCATATTATGGAAGATCACGCCTGCGTTAATATTAGGCATTGTAAGTAGATATTCGAGCGTGTGATAAGTTGAAAATTTGTTCCAATTCGTTTTTGTACTATTCGAAGATTTTGTAAATTTCTGTATTCCTGGTTCTTGACAAAGTCTATGTTGGTTTTCCATGTGCAGACAAGCGCTTCCCATTGGTATCGCTGTTGGTATCCTTGGGATTGTAGGAACATTTCTGTACTTGAACAGCACCTTGTAGTGATTGAAACCTCTATCCTCTCTTTAGTTCATTCGTCCTAGTTGCTTAGTTCCGTCGCCCTAAAACCTCAACTTTAAGTATTCACATCAAAGTGTAAATTCTTTCATGGAATAGACCAAATCAATCCTTCTATACATGTATTGAGACAGTTTGATTGGACCTGCACCGTCAATAAGTTGGCTTCACTTTTTTGTCAAATAAAGCTCGACATGTTCTCGATGGTTTATGAAACTTGGAACTTGTTGATGCCATAGGTTCTGTTTACTGTGGCCTCATGAAGTTCTTGTTGCGCTTCTCCATCGATGGCCTTGTTGTAAATCAGACAATTTATCCATTCTCTGTATGTGCACATGTAGAATTATTTCGACACTGGGACATTGGGATATAATCAAGCATTGAATGTAACCTGGGGTTTTTCCTTTTCCTGAATATTGAGGTGAGCTTTTGAACTGCCTGCTCCTCGCTACTGGACTTGTTGGCCCTGCTATTAATTTGATTAGTTATCAGACTCCATTTTGCTCAGAACCTCTGTTTTGTGAACAAAGATTCGTAAGAGCACAGAATTCTACAATTTGAAATACTGAAGAAAAGCCATGACACTCTTCACATTTGACTGGTTGGAAGAATGTCGAAAACTTCAGTTGACAATTCCAAAGCACTACAAAAGAGTTGTTAAGATGAGATGAAGGACTTGTGGATCAGTCAATGATTTTCTTTTGGTTCCAACATGCGACTGGGTTAATTTGAGGATTTTTCCATTTTCTCCAACTTATGGACATCCACCAATCTCTGTCTTTTAGAAGTTCAATAATCCTGATTCAGCAAAAAAAGTACAAAATTACTTTTTGAAATTATCAACTTCTGACGTATTTGATTGTGTAATTTGGTCCTTTTTATTTTTTAACTAAAAATATTGGGTTCTGGTTTAATTTTCAATGTCTTCAAAAGTATATTGTTCATTGAAAGTGTTTGCTAGGATGTAGTAAGATTCCTTCTACTACTATTCTTTAGATAAAGTTTTAGATAATCTTTAGTTCTTCGATTGTTTTAAAAAGAACCAATTTAAATCTTTGATTCTTTGAATATGTTTTTTTTTGAAAAAATCAAATAAATAAATCTTATCTAAAAGATTAGCTTAAAAAAGTAAAAATTATCTAAGAAATTATTCTTTGCCAAATTTCTATAACTTTAATATCAAAAATATAAATATAAATATTAATTACTTTATGTTATCTTAATTTTTAAGATAAAAACCAAGTTATTTTAATCAACTAGAATAAAAAGAGTAATTTAAATACACAAAATCTGTTTTTTCCTACTCACAATTCATTTTAAAAATTACAACATATGATTAGAATATAAGTATGTAAAAACCATAAGAAAAATATATTGAAGTATATATCAAACATTACATTAATTTAGTAAATGCTTAGGTCAATTTAAAAATTTTCTTTATATTTTACAAAATATATATTGAACACTTGATTTTTTGTACATATTTTAATTTAAATTTTAGTATTTACTATTTAAATTTATGAGAAATTTAAATATAATTTTTTTACTTTTATTTTATTTTTGACAATCAATTAATGTTTGTTGTTATATATTAGAAGAAAATATAATATATATATATTGGTGTTTTCTTGGATTTTCAAACATTGAACAAAAAAAAATGATTACATATAATTTCTTAAAATATATTTTTCATATCAACCTACACTGTAGCTTCAGAATTACAAATTGATCAAGTGATGAATTTTATAACTAATAAATTACGACAAATTCTGATACATTTAGAGAATAAAAAATTAACCAACATCAATAAATGATAGGAAAAATATATTACAAAACTCATTTTATATTCATGCAAAAAAACTTTGAAAATTTTAATATTAATTTTTTTGCTAATATTGAAAATTATTATCAAGAAAATAAAAAAATTGTTAATAATAATAATAATAAAAATATTATTTGTGCTCACAATTCCAAGGTTCCTTCATTTTATTTAATCGATTGACAGAAAAGATTGGACTTACCTTAAGCCATTTCATTTATTAGCATATGTTCGATATTAGACATTTGGCGATCATTTCACAATTTTCATTCAAGGTTCAACGCCAACAAAAGAGAAAAAGAAAAAAGAAATCTATTAACATATTACGTCACATTTATTTACAGTAAATGAATCAAAAGCGTCAATAAACAGGTTTCAATCAATTTACATGAGAGAGTTGCACCTGTGGGATTAGCTCCTTGTATCCCATAGAAAACAACTCTTAGTTTTGTTTTATTTTTAATTTTTTAATTTTTTTTCTTCCTTAACTGTTGCTGTTTTTCTTGTAGTGTTTGTTTGTTTGTTTGTTTGTTTGTTTGCTTGTTTGTTTGTTTGTTTGTTTGCTTGTTTGTTTGCTTGTTTGTTTTTTCTGGTTTTTCTGGTTTTTCTGTTTGCCTGGAATTGCAAGCAAGTCAAGCAGGAACTGTGAATTCATTGTATGGCCATGGCAGAAACGAAGCTGAGTATGATGGACCTTAGAGGAGGATTGTGACCTAAATGGTGAGCAAGTTGCTACACTTCCTGCTTTGTGGGCTATTGTTGCGTCTTCGAATTCTCATGGGATTTGCAGCTTTTCGTTTTTCATTTCTCCGTTTGTGTTTGTAGTAATTCGACAAGAGGTGAGTTCACAGTTGTGTATGCATGGTGTGTGTTATTCGTAAACATGGTAATGAACTGGTACCCACATCGTCAAAATGGCTACAAACACTTTCTGTTATGGTGATGGGAAATAGGTCGGAGATAGCAAGTACACCGTGTGGGTCAGCTTCAAAGTGTTGCAAGAAGAATTCATGTCCAGTTTGCATTCAAGCCATACTCAAACTTTTGACAACAATTTTTTTTGTTTCATTGCCATTATGTCAGGGTAACAGGCATTCAGCGCCGCCAGAATCTGCAGCCTCAGGAGTTCCTGCAGCGCCAGATGGGTCAGGTGCTGAAGCGCCATCACCATCTTCGTCGTGGCGATTAATTTGGCGTTTCGGAAATCCGTTTCATGTCCTGGTTAGCAGCAAAAAAATCGCTGAATGGTTTGGGGTAAAATGCGAGTACGTGCCCCCATTTCTCTCATGTACCCATGTTGGCTTTTTTCTGTATGTAAGAAGATTATCATGCTTGAAGGTCGCCAAATTCTCGATCAAACACCTCACGGTGAGGTAGAAGGGATCGCTGTGTATGGAATGCTGAAGCTTCATGTAATGCAGGGACTGCCCGGAGGATACCGTCTGGGGATGTTACGTGACGAAGAGTTGCTGGAAAGTTGTTATGGTGAACATCGGATTCGTTTTCGTTTTGGTTGGATGTGAGTGCAGCAACCACTATAACCAAAACCCTGTTCAGCGAGTATAACAATTTTGTTTGGTGCAGCTCTTAAGCTAATAAGGGATTGTATCCGCTCGTAATGTGTTCATTGTTGATAGTTTGTATAACATGACTCCTCTTGTTCCTTAGTTGGATAGAGCGGTGGGCTCATGTGAAATATCTTGAACCATGCCCAATTCACGCCAATTGATTGACTAATCCTGTGGTCTCGATACCAGTGCTTCTTTGCCTTTTCTTCCTGGGGCAAATCGACGATGTGTTGAGTTATCAGAGGCGGCTGGCCGAGTATGAGAGTAATTATCCGACTCTTGCAAAACTGCTTATTAGTCCTTTGAAATCGTTTCATAAGGGTTACGTGAAAGCTTGGGAAAGAGGATACAAATCGCTGGAAAAAAGGCACGGCAAAAAACTGTGGTTCGCTGTTCTGGTTATGCTTCCATGTAAACTTTTGAAAGTAATGTGGAGAATAGGTCAGAAATGTCTGCAACCCACTTGCGGCTTCTGCTGGTCTTTTACGTCCACTTGCAAGCATTGTATCAAGGCTACAGGACTTTTCCAAAGTATGTTCAAGAAAGGTGGCTGCATGGCCGATCCCGAAGGTGATGCCAGAAGGGCCAAGGAAACGAAGAAGCAAGCCAAGTTAGATGCAAAGAAAGCTAAAAAACAGGTTATGTTGGAAGCAATTCAAGATAAAAAGCTCGCAGAGGAAGCTGCAAATCACGACAAGACTGGTGCGAAGGAAGCGAAAGAGGAACGAAACGATGAGGAGGGAGAAGAAAGCTATGGCGACGCTGAGAAAGGCAAGAAAGCGGACAAAGGCAAGAAAGAGGACAAATCTGAGGCTTTTGCAACACCTGCAGCATCCCCTTCGCCTTCAGCTTCGTCAGCACCCCCTTCACCTCCTTCGCCAGCAACTCCTCCATGGCCAGTACCTCCTCCAGGAATGTCTCCTGGAGCGATGGCTCCCGTTGCAGTGCCACCCCAACCGCTGGCATATGGAGCTCAAACACAATATGGTGCACAGTATGGCACACAATTTGCTGCATATGAAGCCTTTCCAGGACAAGCTGGATATGAAGCCTACAACAATCCCATGTATGGCGCAGAGCAGTATGGACAAGGCTCATATGGTGTACCAGCAGCAGCTCCAGGTCATGAGGCGAGAGCTCTTGCTGCTATGAGCTATGGGGGAGCATATCCATATTCTCAACAACAACAGGGTGCAGCTCCGGCCCCTTACGCTCAGCAGTACATGCCACAGTATGGGCAATATAACTAACTGATCTTCGAACTTCGAATTCACCACACGGTTCCAGTTTTTCGGCGGATCGCATCAACGATTGATCAGCCACCTTTTGTGTTTTTGACATGGTGCGGAACTCGTGTCGTTGTGGATTTGTGTCTGTAGGATAGATAGCTCTCTGATCAAAACACATAAAATCTAGTATTGCCTTTGCATTGTCTGTGTATGGTGTAGTCTTTACAGATTGATCAACCAGATCGAAGGGAGTGCATCAACTGCTTCGAGGAAAGCAACGTTCATTCAGGAAGTCGGTGATGCTTTGTCTTGAGCTTAACAGGTAAGTTCACAACGGTGGACAGATGATGTGTATTGTTTTCAACTTGCGTTGGGCTTGAATATTTGCATGTCTGCAGAGGTTTTCAGTCTCAGAGATCCAGAAGTTCTGAGCTCGTATAAGTAGATGAAAATTGGATAAAACATATTTCTGCAGTGGGCTGGTTTTGTAGTGTTGGCATCGTAGAAATGGAAGATGATGGAATATATCTTGTAAGAACTCAATTTCCTGCTGGTTACTTGTGAGCAGAGTTGAGGACCAGAGAATGTAGTGCTCGGCCTTGATTGATTAGATTGGATCATTTTCATTAAGCGCTATGGGTGGATACGTTAATGTCATGAATATAACATAGTTATGAAATATACTTGCTACCTAGCATTGCAGTAGGAAGAAGAACATGTTTTTTATTGTTTATGTTTCACTTCTAATTTTGTTCTACATTGATGTTTTAATATCGATATTGTTCATTTCGTGACAAAAAAATGTGTTACTGTGAAGCGGATGGTTGTTTAGACAAATTGGTGTTTAAACATACAACAAATCTTAGATAAGCATCTTATTTAAAGAATTTGAGTTTTTGGCCAGATTAAAGATTCTTGCAATACTGCATAAATTTTTGTACAAATTTCGTTCAAAAGCTATACAATGTATGTCTTTTTGTTTAATGCGCTGTGATTTATTAGAATAGATTTTTTTTTTGAAATACAATGTGTAGCAAGATAAGTTCTAATGATAAATTTTAAGATTTTATTTTAGACAAAATGTGGATATAATTTTAGTTTTATTTATTATTCAAAATACCAAAATTTGTGTAGAAAGTCTTTAATTTATTGGTTAAGAAAGCACATGAATATATTTAATAATATTTGAATATAAAAACAATAGTAAGAATACTTTGTTAATTATTGTTATATTAGTGTCATTTACTATATTTGAAATATTATGTTATTATAAATTTTTATTTATTCAATATATAATGATGTTTTATTGTATTTTTTTATAAATATCGTAAATTAAATCTCAAATGTTGTTAGAAAAAATATGTAATAATATTGTCTTATGTTGTTTTTGAAAAGAATTGATTATTTATTCTATATAAGATAATTTAATACAAAAATTTTTAGAAGGACATCTCTCCTTTATTTTGTAAACACCTTGTTTTTATTACAAAAGACTCTTTTTTTATGTAGTCACTTGTTTTTTTTAATAATGTGGATACCTTTCCTGAAAAAAATTGTGGACAATTGTGCTTATTGTGTCCAATTTCTCTACATTTTGTATAGTGCTATCTTTTCCTCTTCTCCACAAATTCAAATGCAATAAGTTCTTTTGAAATGCTTGAAGAGAGAAGATAAGCCATATTGCCAAGATGTCTTCTTATTTGTGTAATATGCAAATTTATTATACCTTGTTCTATTCATAAAAGGATTTGAACCAATTGCTCCAAAAACCATTATTTATGTTATAAGAGTTCTTCATAACAAGGTATAATTTGTAACAAAATCTTTTTTAAGCTTAAATTATTTGATATTTCTTAATAGGAAGACGTTGATTTTAAGCAATAATATTGATAAAAAAGATTGAAAAGAAGAAATTTAGTAGCATTCAACAATCTCTTCAATTTTTAGGAACATGAAAGATCTTTTACTTATTTATAAGAAACCAATACAATTCAAGATTATATAATCATCTACTATGTGATTTTTTTTTTTTTTTTTTTTTTTTTTTAATTCATTAAGAATCTTATGTAAGGCATAATAGGAGATTTTTTTTAGATAATAAGGTGTTGAAAAGAATTGGAATACAAGAATAAAATTTTGCTTGATTTGCATATATTTCCATGACATATAACACAATCTTGACTTTCTTCAAATAAGATTATTTTGTTGTAAATGTTCTTTGAGTTGTTAGTTGATACCATAATTCATTCTTTTATAGCCAAGTAATTTTTTTCAATATAATTGGTAATAAAATATTCAAAAGACATCACCTTTCTTGTCTATGTATAAACAAAGCAAGTCTAATGTAAGATCAAAGTTTCTATTGACTCTAGTTAGTGGTTTGTGACTATCATCCATGGTGTCTTTCTATCTCTAAAGATATTCCAAATATGTTTTAAAGACCATAAGTAATCTATATATGTTTTGCCTTGTATGAAAAAAAAACTAAGAAAAAATGACATGTTGTGGTAGTAGAATTAATAATATGTAAGTAAGACATGTTGAAAGTGAATATACAACTATAAAAAAGTTCATTAACTATTACATCAATTAGCTAAATAGAGTCTTATTTTCTTAAAAAAACATTTGACCTCAAATCCTAGACTTCATAAGAGGGATACATAAATTAACATATTTATTATATTTTTTTCTATTAAAGTAGAAACAATAGGATGAAGCAATTGAGATACCATTTACAAATAAGTATGAAGAAAAAGACATAAAATACACATAAACACAAAAAAATTATCAATTGGTTTTATTTGTAAAATCTAGTAGCAAAACTATAAAAAAAAAAAAAAAAAATCTTTTATAAGTGTTACAAAGTTCTTTAAAGTAAAAAATAGATGTATAAAGTGGCCAAAAATATCACATTTGAAAGCATGACAAACATTATTTGTTTGTGGTTTATCTAACAATGCTTCCAATAGGGTACAAACTTAGAGATTAATTGCATGCAATAATTTTTTGGCATTGTATATATTTCAAATAACAACTTCTAAAGATTTATTTTGTTAGAAAATGGTAAATAAAATTGTTCTAAAAGTAGCCCTTCTTTTGTTTACATATTTGATGGTAGCAACATTATCAAAAGATAGAATCCATGGACTAGGATAATCAAAAAGAATGAGAGGTACATCATGGTTGTGTACCTTTATCTCAATAGTCACCCCTCCATACTTGTTATGGACATACATAATTATCTTGATAAGAAGTGATAGTTAATTAATATATATAGATAGATTTGATAATATATTATGGAGTAGCTTCTTAAAAACTTCATAAATATAGATTTAAATTTAAATATATTTATAATTAATTGGTAGGTTAGAAACTTTTTCAAGAAGTTAGTCGCATGTTGCACATGTTGAAAATTTGTAATACAAGTTGGCCATGTAGTGTATATGTATAAAACTTGTTTTTTAATTTAGATACATGTCTTATAAGTTTGATATATGTCCTAGATCTTATAGAACAACATCACTTAGCTCCTAATTAGATAGTATATATGGAGGTAAGAGTGAATTCTTTTTCACTCTTATCAATGCCTTTCTTGTTCTTAGTTTTGTTTTAAGAGCCTCTAGTCTTCTTATCTTTGGCAATAGCTATTCTAGATTTAATATTATATTATCTTTGAATAATTTTCTATTATTTTCTAATAAAAAAAGAATGTATTAAACTTTTAGTTGTTTATAATGAATATTCTTGATAATAGCTCATCTCTACTACCTAAATATTGCAAAGTAGAATTCTATAAAAATTTGCATCTATGTGAGCTAATTTTTTTGTTAGAAATTTTCTTCAAGATAGAGAGAAGAGTTTTTTTTCTTATATGAGCAATAATAAATATAATAGAATAAAATTTTATTATTGATTTTTACCTTGATCTTTTTAGCATTGTTGTATAACATGAATTCTTACTTGAAAATGCACCAAACACCTAGCTATGGAAGATAAATAAAAAATACAACAACAAGATCCTACTAAGTCTAATAGAATTTTAATTAAATTCTAAATAATCCTTAATAACCATAATTAAATTTTAATCAAGCCAAAAGAAATTTAAAAGAAATCATAAGAAAAGCATAAAAAGTCATAAATTAATGTAAAAAAATAATAAAGAAATCTTAGAAGAAAAAAAATAATAAATAAATACAAAATAAAATCCTTAAAAATAACAATAATTTTATAAAAATATTATTAAAATTTTTTTTTTAAAAAAACAAAAAATATTAAAGAAATATTAAAAATATAAATCATAAATAAATCTTAAATAAAACTTTACTAAATCTTGATCAAATCTTGATTTAGCCCTAATCAAATCCTAATGCAATTCTAAATAAATTCTAACAAAAACTTAATTAAATTATAACTAAATTTTAAATAAATCCTATATCAAATCTTAATCAAATTCTAAATTTTAAACCAAATACTAATAAAATTCTAAATTCTAAATCAATTCCTAGAGAAATCCTAATAAAATCCTAAATCCTATATCAAATCTTAAACCAAATTCTAATAAAATCCTAATCAAATTCTAATAAAATCCTAATCAAATCCTAAACAAATCCTAAACAAATCTAAAGTAAATCATAATCATTTTTCAAAGCTATTTTAAAATCTCAATAAACATTAATGAAAATTTTGAGCTTAACTAAAATTTCACTCATATTTCAATTTACAAGCAATTAACAAGAATACAAAATTTGGAAAGAATCAAACTCAAAAATTGTAATGAAATGCTTCCATAACCTCTTGGATGTTGGTTGCTTTCGTTTTCTAGCTTGAATGTTAACCTTCCAACAACCTTTTTTCTTTGCTGAAATGGTAAAATGCTCCAAAAATTGGTTGGTGTGTAGATTTCTAAGTCTAAATTGCTCTCACCAATTTGTGCTTTAATCAAATTGGTAAATTTTGAAAGATCAAAAAAATCCTTATTGATCCTAAATTTCAATTATTTGATACCATAATCCACAAAAATCTCATAACTACCAATCTAATTATTAAATAAACATCAAAAAATTTAAAATAATTTAAAGCAAACACAATTATAAATTGAAAAAATTTCACTTATAAGTATATTATAATATTCAAAAAATCTTCAAATTTATAAATTTCTTTTTATTTATCAAAATTTAAATCTATTGAATAAATTTCTTATTTTAAAGAGCCTTCAAAAACTCCATATATCTTTAATTCACACAAAATAAACTTTTAAAAATCCTCTCACAAGTTTGGTCTTAAATCTTGCTCTCTGATCAACCAAAGTGCCTTGGAATTGTTGTAAGAATGTAATTTTGTACCTCAAGGTCTGATTTCAACCTTAGTTCACAATTGGTCTTCTTTAAATATCAATTCTTCATATTTTGAGGTGATTTTTGCTATAACATATTTTTAATCTCTTCTTTAAAATGCTTTTATTAATTATTTATTTTATTTATTTTAATTTGGATCACTTATGCTCTTACAAAGTAAATAAAGTCTCTTCTTTAAGAAGGCAACATTATTATTTATTAATTTTTATTACCTCTTTATCTATTATCTATACTTTTAAGATAATTTTTTGAATTATTACATTTAATTTCTTTTATAATATAATTTTTTTTTTCTTTTATCTAATAGTCATGTTATCATATGACAATTTATGAATTTTATATTTTAAATTTAAACTTATCTATAGTATCATGAATATATATATATATATGTATATATATATATATATAGATATTCTA